CGTCATTCGCGTATTGGAAGTCTTGGTGGCACCTCAAGGCTTCCATGATGTCCACGAAATACGGCCGCAAGCCCGCTTCTTTGTCCTCTTCCGTGTGCAAAAGCCGCAGGCGGCCTTCCTCGTCCCAATGGTTGTCTTCGAGCTGCACGGGCCATCCGCTGCGACCCCCTCGGTCCAGCTGGGATCCTCTCACCGCCTCTGCGAGAACATCTGCTGGCGCTCCTTGCTGAGCTTCTTCTGCCTCCGCCGAAGCTCGGCTGCTCGGCATTGTGGCCGACAATGCCTTGTCCAAGGACATGGCCAGCAGGGCATCGTCGGAAGCAAAGACGAGCACATGGATGTGGGGGCGGCCAGACCCGTGGTAGTCTTGCGTCGGGGCCTTGCGGGTGCCGTCTTGGAATTCAACGCGCAAGAAGAGGCGCACCACGTGGTCATTGTCGTGCCCGTCCTTCGCCCTCAGGAGGTGCTGGATCCACGGGTCGCGCCCACGTTTGCCCGTCTGCCCCGCCAGAAGACCTCGGCGTGCGGTGATCCAACAGAACCGCCGTCAGCGGGGTACGGACAAGGTGCTATTATAGAGATCTTTGGTTCGTGCAAGACTAGAAGAACTCCAAAACAGATCCACCCAACTCCTTGAATATCGGTCCTGCTACCGCGGAAACTGTTACTGACTGTCTTTAGACGGTGCACCCCGCACCACCTGCAGCAAGACGTGCGTGATGTGCAGTGTTTCTGCAACAGGGAGATCTAGGCGTCCTCGCAACTCTTTCGCCATCTCGTCCAAGATCCAGTCGGCATATGGCATCGAAAATTCGTATGGCGAGATTGTCCAGAAGATCTTCGGGTAGCCCATCTGCCTCACCAAGTCGATCAAGGCCCAATGGACGGCTTTCCAATAGAGGGGCGAAAAGGAGTGCCCTTTCATCAGAACACGCATGGGCACATCGTAGTCTGTGCTGGTCTTCTTCTTGGCTCCTAAGCTGGACCAGAGGGAGAGGTCGTAGGCAAAGTGGAGAAGGTCATAGCTGCTTCCATAGCCGAGGCAAGCTGACAGAGCCAGTGCCGCGTAGGACCTCTTGACGCTGTGGCGCTTGCCGTCGTCTCCTTCCTCATCTGCTTCGATCGAGGAGACGTCGCCGTCCACGAGACCCTCCAAGCTCATGGCCGCGCGTCCCAGGCGCCGCGTGTCC